TATTACACTGAAAGACAAAGTAAGGATTATTACACAGAAAGACAAAGTAAGGAATTCTACACAGAAAGACAAAGTAAGGAATTCTACACAGAAAGGCAAAGTAAGGAATATTACACTGAAAGACAAAGTAAGGAATTCTACACAAGGCATATTACACAGAAAGACAAAGTAAGGAATTCTACACTGAAAGACAAACTAAGGAATATTACACTGAAAGACAAATTAAGGAATACTACACTGAAAGACAAAGTAAGGAATATTACACAGAAAGACAAAGTAAGGAATACTACACTGAAAGACAAAGTAAGGAATTCTACACAGAAAGACAAAGTAAGGAATATTACACAGAAAGACAAAGTAAGGAATTCTACACTGAAAGACAAACTAAGGAATATTACACTGAAAGACAAAGTAAGGAATACTTACATTGAAAGACAGAGTAAAGAATACTTACATTGAAAGACAAAGTAAGGAATATTACACTGAAAGACAAAGTAAGGAATTCTACACAGAAAGACAAAGTAAGGAATTCTACACAGAAAGACCAAGTAAGGAATAATTACATTGAAAGACAAAGTAAGGAATACTTACATTGAAAGTCAAAGTAAGGAATATTACACAGAAAGACAAAGTAAGGAATGCTACACTGAAAGACAATGTAAGGAATGCTACACTGAAAGACAATGTAAGGAATGCTACACAGAAAGACAAAGTAAGGAATATTACACTGAAAGACAAAGTAAGGAATATTACACAGAAAGACAAAGTAAGGAATGCTACACTGAAAGACAAAGTAAGGAATATTACACAGAAAGACAAAGTAAGGAATACTATACAGAAAGACAAAGTAAGGAATTCTACACAGAAAGACAAAGTAAGGAATATTACACTGAAAGACAAAGTAAGGAATTCTACACTGAAAGACAAAGTAAGGAATATTACACAGAAAGACAAAGTAAGGAATACTATACAGAAAGACAAAGTAAGGAATTCTACACAGAAAGACAAAGTAAGGAATATTACACTGAAAGACAAAGTAAGGAATTCTACACAGAAAGACAAAGTAAGGAATTCTACTCCAAAGACAAAGTAAGGAATATTACACTGAAAGACAAAGTAAGGATTATTACACAGAAAGACAAAGTAAGGAATTCTACACAGAAAGACAAAGTAAGGAATTCTACACAGAAAGGCAAAGTAAGGAATATTACACTGACTACAAAGTAAGGAATTCTACACAAGGCATATTACACAAAAGACAAAGTAAATTCTACACTGAAAGACAAACTAAGGAATATTACACTGAAAGACAAATTAAGGAATACTACACTGAAAGACAAAGTAAGGAATATTACACAGAAAGACAAAGTAAGGAATACTACACTGAAAGACAAAGTAAGGAATATTACACAGAAAGACAAAGTAAGGAATATTACACAGAAAGACAAAGTAAGGAATACACAGAAAGACAAAGTAAAATACTTACATTGAAAGACAAGTAAAGAACTACTACATTGAAAGACAAAGTAAGGAATATTACACTGAAAGACAAAGTAAGGAATTCTACACACTAAAGACTCCAAAGTCCACTAGGAATTCCAAATCCACTACACAAAAGACTACTACAAACACTAAGGAATAATTACATTGAAAGACAAAGTCTCCAAATCCACTACTACAAACAATCTCCAAATCCACTTACATTGAAAGTCCAAGTAAAATATTACACAGAAAGACAAAGTAAGGAATGCTCCACTACTGAAAGACAATGTAAGGAATCCACTACTGAAAGACAATCTCCAAATCCACTACTACACAGAAAGACAAAGTAAAATCCACTACTAAAACAAAGTCTCCAAATCCACTTACACAGAAAGACAAAGTAAGGAATGCTACACTGAAAGACAATGTAAGGAATGCTACACTGAAAGACAATCTCCAAATCCTACACTAAGGAATATTACACTGACAAGACAAAGTACACTCTCCAAATCCACTAATATAAAGTGAAAGAGAAATCACTACACTGAGGAATTAGAAACAAAAGAAGATGAATACTACACTTTAAAAAAGACTAATTAGATAATAATGCTCTGAAAGACAAATTAAAGACTACAACAATGGAAGACAGTTTGATAATAATGCTCCAAGGCCTATTTAAGTATACTGCACTGAAAGTCTTCAGAATAATCTGTCGACAAATTCTAGCATACTACTTTTTAAAACAAACTAAAAACAAGATGACATGAAACTATTTCTCAGTTTGTGCTACTACAAACACTCTCCAAATCCACTACTACAAACACTCTCCAAATCCACTACTACAAACACTCTCCAAATCCACTACTACAAACACTCTCCAAATCCACTACTACAACACTCTCCAAATCCACTACTACAAACACTCTCCAAATCCACTGCTACAAACACTCTCCAAATCCACTACTACAAACACTCTCCAAATCCACTGCTACAAACACTCTCCAAATCCACTGCTACAAACACTCTCCAAATCCACTACTACAAACACTCTCCAAATCCACTACTACAAACACTCTCCAAATCCACTACTACAAACACTCTCCAAATCCACTACTACAAACACTCTCCAAATCCACTACTACAAACAATCTCCAAATCCACTACTACAAACACTCTCCAAATCCACTACTACAAACACTCTCCAAATCCACTACTACAAACAGTCTCCAAATCCACTACTACAAACAAAATCCACTACTACGAACAATCTCCAAATCCACTACTACAACACTCTCCAAATCCACTACTACAAACACTCTCCAAATCCACTACTACAAACACTCTCCAAATCCACTACTACAAACACTCTCCAAATCCACTAGTACAAACACTCTCCAAATCCACTACTACAAACACTCTCCAAATCCACTACTACAAACACTCTCCAAATCCACTACTACAAACAGTCTCCAAATCCACTACTACAAACACTCTCCAAATCCACTACTACAAACACTCTCCAAATCCACTACTACAAACACTCTCCAAATCCACTACTACAAACACTCTCCAAATCCACTACTACGAACAATCTCCAAATCCACTACTACAAACACTCTCCAAATCCACTACTTCCACTACTACAACAGTCTCCAAATCCACTACTACAAACACTCTCCAAATCCACTACTACAAACACTCTCCAAATCCACTACTACAAACACTCTCCAAATCCACTACTACAAACAGTCTCCAAATCCACTACTACAAACAGTCTCCAAATCCACTACTACAAACACTCTCCAAATCCACTACTACAAACACTCTCCAAATCCACTACTACAAACACTCTCCAAATCCACTACTACAAACACTCTCCAAATCCACTACTACAAACACTCTCCAAATCCACTGCTACAAACACTCTCCAAATCCACTACTACAAACACTCTCCAAATCCACTACTACAACACTCTCCAAATCCACTACTACAAACACTCTCCAAATCCACTACTACAAACACTCTCCAAATCCACTACTACAAACACTCTCCAAATCCACTACTACAAACACTCTCCAAATCCACTGCTACAAACAATCTCCAAATCCACTACTACAAACACTCTCCAAATCCACTACTACAAACACTCTCCAAATCCACTACTACAAACAATCTCCAAATCCACTACTACAAACACTCTCCAAATCCACTACTACAAACACTCTCCAAATCCACTGCTACTAACACTCTCCAAATCCACTACTACAACACTCTCCAAATCCACTACTACAAACACTCTCCAAATCCACTACTACAAACACTCTCCAAATCCACTACTACAAACACTCTCCAAATCCACTACTACAACACTCTCCAAATCCACTACTACAAACACTCTCCAAATCCACTACTACAAACACTCTCCAAATCCACTACTACAAACACTCTCCAAATCCACTACTACAAACACTCTCCAAATCCACTACTACAAACACTCTCCAAATCCACTACTACAAACACTCTCCAAATCCACTACTACAAACACTCTCCAAATCCACTACTACAAACACTCTCCAAATCCACTACTACAAACACTCTCCAAATCCACTACTTGAAACACTCTCCCAAACCACAAAATATTGATGATTTCAACAGTGTCCTTATTAGGGCCCAATATGTTTGATGCCTACAATAATCAAATAAAGTAAAACTCACAGTTTGATGACCAGGTTAAATCAAGCTTATCAAATGAGTGAACTTTATATCAATATTAGATATTGACAGATCCAAGTTAACAAACATGAAAGGTCAAATATCCAAGGTCAAAAACATGAAAGGTCAAATATCCAAATTAACAGATATGAAAGAAGTTCTTCTCATACTTATAACTTGAATGACAGCCTCGACAAACAAAGTCTACACACTATTGTTTACTTACCAGGTAGGTAGTAAAATCAACTGTTACCACATCCACATAAACCTTGTTGACTTATCCCAAGTTTGTGTATGTCACATTTCATTCATTAATTTTTGGTGATATGTTTATAGAATATGTAGGTTTGGTGAAAATAACTAAAAAAATAAAAATAATGATAATAATTTATGAGTGTAGCAAACACAGGTTTAACATTGCCTTGTGAAAATAATAATAATGATAATTTATGAGTGTAGCACACACAGGTTTAACATTGCCTTTTGAAAATAATAATAATGATAATTTATGAGTGTAGCACACACAGGTTTAACATTGCCTTGTGAAAATAATAATGATAATAATAATTTATGAGTGTAGCACACACAGGTTCGACTGTGAATCATTCTGTATACTTTTTGGTAAAAAATTTTATTTATGACTAAATAAAAGGCACACAAGTTAAATTATTGAAATTTGGAATTTTCTGACATGTTTTATTTCTGAAGCCTAATAACATCCTATCTTATGCCATCTTACTTGTACATATACCATCCATTTGTATTTCAAAGCAGAATCAAAAATGCATTTCTTCTGATTTTTCAGAAGAAGAAAATGATGAAAAATCCAATGGCAAACAGGAACGGAAGGAATCCAGGGATGTTGCTAACCAAGAGACAGAGTCCCATGACTTCTTCGGGGCCTCCCTGGTAAAGGCTGCATTAAACAGGGCTTCAAGGTACCAACAGCTGGTCGATACTGATGAGGAGAGGGAGGTGCGCAAAATTCCAAAACCTGTTGAGACCCAGGTTAAAACTTCTAAAGAACAGGCAGAGTCCAGTTCCTCATATGCAGAAGATGATCATCTGGACGTACATGTAAACAAAAACGCTATAGACTTCAGTTACAAGGAGTTAGAAGATGAGTATGGTAGTCGACCTGTTCCTGCCACCACTGTAAACAAACCACGAGAAGGACACCAGGGAGCACCACAGGAATTTAACAATCGGCGGTCCGTAGGGCGTGAAGTACCAACAGGTACAGATCAGAGAAATGCAAATTTATCAGACAGGATTGTGGGTCATGAGTATGGTGTACGACCACTTTTAGATGATGACGAATTGGAAGATGCTTATGGAATGCAACATCACCATGGCAACTCAGAGACAGGGTATTCACATGATCATGATGACAGTACACCCAGCAGTAACAGTACCGTGTCCCCAAACATGCTAGGTAGTCCTTCTTTGTCCCCATCTATGGAGAGGGGAACATCAGATCCATTTGCATCTGCACCATTTAGGAAGAAGCAGACACGAAAAAAGCGTCCATCAAGTGCTGTGATGCCAAATAAACCAACAGGAAACTCAGATATATTTGCAAAGGCTCCATTCAAACCAAAGTTTATGACAAAGTCTAAGACTCACCAATCTATTGGGAGCCCACTCTTACAGGGAGATATTGACAAACCTGAGGAGGGTCAAGGAGGAGAGTCAAGCAATGGTGATATATTTGGCAAAGCCCCCTTTAGAGTAGCTCTAGTAAATAAACCAAAACAATCGATGCAAGAGTTGTCTCCCCCTTGTGAGCCTGTCTCCTCTGAACAGACCAAACAATCTGTGATAGTTTCAACTCCCTCCTTTATGCCACCCAACCCCAGACAGTTCTACTCCATGTCTGTCACCACCTCCCACTCGGCCAGTGTACAAGCTCCTTTAAAAGAACCATCTAAGGAAGAGTTCTCCACTCCAGATCCCTTTGGGGCCGTTCCATTTGGTCATGTGAGGATGAATAAAAAGGCTGATGGTGTTCAAACGAGTACTGTGAAAAAGTCTCAGTCATTTGGTTATCAGCCACGTAATGTTGTACAGACACAGGATGTCAGGCAGACGTCTGGTGTGAGTGATGTTGGCTACCAAACCCTCAGTAATGAGGAAACTAAATTTCCAGATTCTATGTCTTCAGGACACCAACATGCTGAGGACTTTCTACTAAGCAGGGACAGTGAGGAGGAGGAGGAGGAGGAAGAAGATAATGATGAAGAAAACCTCAGTTCCAGTTTCCAGCATTCCAGGGGGCGCACCAAGCCTGTGCAACGAAGCCCACGTGACACTGTTTCTTCATCAGGGTTTGCCAATATGAGTTTTAATGATGATGATGAAGGAGGGGACCCTGATGGAGGTCATGCTCAGGGATTCATGGGTAAAGACCTAAATAGGAGTATGGGACAGAGTTTACATGTGTCAAGCATTCGCCATCCAGCATATACAAAGGAATCTATTTCACAAGTAGCCAATGCTTCAACCGAGGCAATGAAGGTCAGCTCTGGAGGCTACGACACCTTCACATGGCCAAGAAAACAACGCAAGATTCCAACTATTGGTATGGCCACTAATGAACCATTTAGTTCCAAAAAGAAAGTAGATGTGGTGTCAAAGTGATGATAAAATGTATTTATCAGCTTGTGATTTTACTAATTTTAAAATCTATTTGCAATGTACTGCAAAAAACTTTTTTCCAATTCCATGAAAGTTAATTTAATATTTACATTTTGCCGAGTTTTGTGCTTTAGAAATACATTTAATGATGCAAGGTTGTGCATTTAATATAGTTTCTTCTGTACATTTCATGTAGTTTCTAGATCTCCAAGATATTTTATATCATTTTTGCCTAGATCCACAGTACATTTCATATTGTGTCTGGATCTCCTATTGTTAGATATGCCTAATTTCATGATTATTAATACATTCAGAATAGTTTCTAGATTCCATTACATTCTTTACAATAAATCTAGACTCCCCAGTATAATTGACACAGGTTCTAGAACCCCTTGTATATTTGTTATAGTTTCTAGATCCCCTGTACATTTGATACAGTTTCTAGATCCCCTTTAGATCATTTGGTACAGATTCTAGATCTCCTGTAGATCTTGATACAGTTTCTAGATCCCCTGTAGATCATTTGATAAAGTTTCTAGATCCCCTGTAGATCATCTAATACAGATTCAAGATCCCCTTTAGATTTGATACAGTTTCTAGATCCCCTTTAGATTTGATACAGTTTCTAGATCCCCAGTAGATCATCTGATACAGTTTCTAGATCTCCTGTAGATCTTGATACAGTTTCTAGATCCCCATTAGATCATTTCATACAGATTCTAGATCTCCTGTAGATCTTGATACAGTTTCTAGATCCCCTGTAGATCATTTGATACAGTTTCTAGATCCCCTGTAGATCATTTGATATAGTTTCTAGGTCCCCTGTAGATCATTTGATACAGTTTCTAGATCCCCTGTAGATCATCTGATACAGATTCTAGATCCCCTTTAGATTTGATACAGTTTCTAGATCCCCTTTAGATCATTTGATACAGTTTCTAGATCCCCTTTAGATTTGATACAGTTTCAAGATCTCCTGTAGATCATCTGATACAGTTTCTAGATCCCCTGTAGATTTGATACAGTTTCTAGATCCCCTTTAGATCATTTGATACAGTTTCTAGATCCCCTGTAGATCTGATACAGATTCTAGATCCCCTGTAGATTTGATACAGTTTCTAGATCCCCTGTAGATCATTTGATACAGTTTCTAGATCCCTTGTAGATTTGATACAGTTTCTAGATCCCCTGTAGATCATTTGATACAGTTTCTAGATCCCCTGTAGATCATTTGATACAGTTTCTAGATTCCCAGTAGATCATCTGATACAGTTCCTCCACTTTATTTGAACAGTTTAGGTCTCCTGAACTTTACCCGGTGCTTCTCTTGTCCCTGATGACCTTTACTATTTATAAATCATACATTCATTTCTTAATTGTATCAGCTATACATCAGTCATCTGTAGGCAGTGCTTCAAAATAACATGTATTATGTATAAATTATGTACATTGTGTATGCTGATTCAGAGTATATGTTTATTTAGTTTGTATATAGATGCCTTTTAACTTATACTGATGTACTAAATGGTTATTCTTGTTCAATGTGGGAGGTAGGCCTTTTTAATGTTTTTTGTGACATCCACAATTTAATTACAGAAGCTGTTAGTGTTTATACAAAATACCTGATTATACAAAATACCTGATTATACAAAATACCTGATTATACAAAATACCTGATTAAGTTTATCATTAGAAAATAAACTCCAATAAAACACAACAATTTGTATAGCTCATTGGTTCCGGAAGTACGATTATATTTTCGTAACCCCTTTATTGTAGTGACTGGTTGACTGCTGCAATGCGTTAAATTGACTGTAAGCACCAAATATCTGCAGCCTCATATTATCTTAGTGGCAATATTATACAGTCTTCAGGGCCATGTGAACTAAAACTGTGGTGCTGCGTCCATCTGTTGTTCATTAACATTACTTTTGATACCCCATTTATGAAAATAATATTTCTACAACAACAAAATAGATTTTAGCAAAATTTTGTCAAGAGGATAACAGTGTGTCACTGTAGAGAATGAACGTTCACCCATCAGATCCAGGCCCACACAAGTTATTGGAGGATATAGCTTTAAGAAAACTTATCTTTCCATATTATTGAAGGATTTTGATAACATAACCCATGGTAGTAGAGAGTCAAATGTAGGAAGTTCATGAGTTCATGAATTCTACTCCAAAACAATTCTGATCCTTGCTATATAACCATGTAGATACAATTGACCAAGGTTACAGGGTATGTCCGGGATCTAGCCCCGTGCTACAGGTTGTATCCTAAAGTGTTCAGTCCACATCTAAACCTAAATACAAGATTACCAATGGGCAATATACAACATGGCAAAGGAACATTCATGATTTATTGTATCAAAATGAATACTTAAGTGGAAATGGTATTATTAAGTCAAAAGGCCAAGAGGGGAAAAAATACTACATGTTTTGATGACTAATTAAAACATAATGTTTCAAAGAGATGGGTAAAAAACAGAGAGAAGAAATCTCTGTATTAGATGGAAACCACGTTTAAAAGAGATGGGTTGAAAACAGAGAGAAGAAATCTCTGTATTAGATGGAAACCAGGTTTAAAAGAGATGGGTTGAAAACAGAGAAGAAATCTCTGTAGTAGATGGAAACCAGGTTTAAAAGAGATGGGTTGAAAACAGAGAGAAGAGATCTCTGTATTAGATGGAAACCACGTTTAAAAGAGATGGGTAAAAAACAGAGAGAAGAGATCTCTGTATTAGATGGAAACCACGTTTAAAAGAGATGGGGAAAAAACAGAGAGAAGAAATCTCTGTATTAGATGGAAACCAGGTTTAAAAGAGATGGGTTGAAAACAGAGAGAAGAAATCTCTGTATTAGATGGAAACCAGGTTTAAAAGAGATGGGTTGAAAACAGAGAGAAGAAATCTCTGTAGTAGATGGAAACCAGGTTTAAAAGAGATGGGTTGAAAACAGAGAGAAGAGATCTCTGTATTAGATGGAAACCACGTTTAAAAGAGATGGGTTGAAAACAGAGAGAAGAGATCTCTGTATTAGATGGAAACCAGGTTTAAAAGAGATGGGTTGAAAACAGAGAAGAAATCTCTGTATTAGATGGAAACCACGTTTCAAAGAGATGGGTTGAAAACAGAGAGAAGAAATCTCTGTAGTAGATGGAAACCAGGTTTTAAAGAGATAGGTTGAAGAAGAAGAAATCTCTGTATTAGATGTTAAAAAAGGCGAGGGGCAATAACTTCCTGATAATCAAATGCTGCTGATAAAAAGACAATCTTGTGTTATGGCTTTAAGCATACCTAGTTTCAAAGAAGTTGAAATCTGAGACGGGAGGTACTGAGGTCTGCCACATTCCCAGGGACTTTATCCTAAGGTCATAATATAAGTCTTAAAGGTTCCAAGCATATATACAGTGGATGTAGAGAGCCAGGTGAGTGTTAGAGGTGATCTTGTTTTAATTAAAACATCATTTCAATTTGTGACGATTATAGTGGCTGATCACACTACATATTACAGCTGAAGCCTGACATTGTTTTGGTTTACCTCTGCTCTTTATCTATATTTTTGCTTCTTTTTCTGCATAAGGGTATTCCCTAACTGTAGTATATTTTTATGCATATTTATTTATTTTTTCAAACTCCATAAATCTTGACTTCTAGGTTCTTCTTTTCTTCAGTCTCGGAGTGAATTAAGTTATGACATATGTTACTACAGCAGTATTGGGCAGAATCACCAGTCAGTCATGTTAGGGTAAATATCAACAGTTCAGGGGTATTCTGTGATTAATATTAAGAAGATAACAATAGTGTGACATCCAGTTAAAAGATAAATACACTATACTAATTTGTTGTTAATTTGGTTTTCACAGTTCAGATGACAATATTATGTAGTCAAAGGTTTATTGTTAGGGTGTTTACTATAAATAGAATGACCATCCTGACCTAATTGTGACTGTCCATAACATACAGTGGTTCCGATATTGAGATATCTTAATAATTAGGTCACTGAGTAGATTGAGTGTTGGAAACATTTCATACCATCAATCAATCATTGTCTGGGCTGTCTAAATATTTTAATGTTATATTTTCATGAAAAATTTTACTTCTTCTTTTAGATACAAACTTTTAAACCTTGTAATCAAGTTTAGTTGATCCCTGTTGGAATCTGTTAATGAAGTGAATGGGTAGAGGCTTATTGATGCCCAATGGAACCTTGTAATGAGGTGAAGGGGTGAAGGGTCATTGATGCCCAATGGAACCTTGTAATGAGGTGAAGGGGATGCCCAATGGAACCTTGTAATGAGGTGAAGGGGTGAAGGGTTATTGATGCCCAATGGAACCTTGTAATGAGGTGAAGGGGTGAAGGGTCATTGATGCCCAATGGAACCTTGTAATGAGGTGAAGGGGTGAAGGGTCATTGATGCCCAATGGAACCTTGTAATGAGGTGAAGGGGTGAAGGGTCATTGATGCCCAATGGAACCTTGTAATGAGGTGAAGGGGTGAAGGGTCATTGATGCCCAATGGAACCTTGTAATGAGGTGAAGGGGTGAAAGGTCATTGATGCCCAATGGAACCTTGTAATGAGGTGAAGGGATGGAGGGTCATTGTTGCCAACTGAAACCTTGTAATGAGGTGAAGGGGTGAAGGGTCATTGATGCCCAATGGAACCTTGTAATGAGGTGAAGGGATGGAGGGTCATTGTTGCCAACTGAAACCTTGTAATGAGGTGAAGGGGTGAAGGGTCATTGATGCCTACTTGAACCTTGTAATGAGGTGAAGGGGTGGAGGGTTATTGATGCCCAATGGAACCTTGTAATGAGGTTGAGGGGTGAAGGGTCATTGATGCCTACTTGAACCTCGTAATGAGGTGAAGGGGTGAAGGGTCATTGTTGCCCAACTGAAACCTTGTAATGAGGTGAAGGGATGGAGGGTCATTGAAGCCCACTGGAACATTGGAATGGGGTGGAGGGTCATTGAAGCCCACTGGAACCTTGTAATGAGATGAAGAGATGGAAGATCAGTGATGCCCATTAGATTCTTGTGGTGACTTCTACTATTCTCTGCAGCACATACTTAAATAGCTGATCTACAAACTTTATCCAGAACTTTTTCTAGTATCTAGTTTCTATGTATTTTTGATATGGAGATGTTTTCAGAATTTCCCAAACATACATTGATTAACATAGATTGAAGTGACTTCCTGCACTGCTGTTCATGTTCTTCATATGAAGGGAGATCATCCACTGCCATATCAACAAATCAGGGGAGTTAACCTAAAATGTCAAATGTGCCATTTTTTTGTGTATAGTATCTGCTGTGTCTTAGTAGCATAATATGTATATGTGTACTTTTTCTTTGATTATGTCAGCCATTCAGTACAAATTATGTCATGCTTTCATTGCAGTTTCTAATAGTTTCAGAGTAAACATTCTTTCCTTTTGTAACATATCACATTATGAAGCAAATGTCTGGACTGCAAACTTAGTTATAACTGTCAAGTCTTCCAATCTAGACACCACTCCCCTTCTGATTTTGTCTGCTAGACTTCATTTTATTAGGAATGTGATGATGTTTTGATTATAAATCCTTATCCTATAGACTGTTGTCAGTGAGGCAGTCTGATATACCTTAACCATTCGGCTTATACCTTACAGTCATCTCTTTATTTTTCTTGTTTCTTTTATTTTTCTTATTTCAGCTCTGAAAATATTTACAATGTCTTCATTTATTTTTTTGTGAATATTACTTGTTTGAAGCAGATATATATTTACCTCTATCAAACACATCAATAATGGTTATAGATATCAATGATTGTCATTAGGATGTGGTCATCAAACTGGATATATTCGAATATACAAAAAAATATTTATAAAGATCACATGGTTTTAAGTGTAAACTAATACCCTGCGTTGCCATGATTGACTAGCTTCATAGTCCTCTAGTCAGAATGATATGTGAGATTGACATGATGAAGTTTTTCTGTAGAGAATGTTTTATCCTGACTTGTAAGTAAGTAGATTAGAACCTTCATACTTTGATGTTACGGAGTACAAAGTTCTGCCCTCTCTCCATCTGTAGATAGATCTGCTATACACAGTTTGAACTTTCTGGACTCTAAACAGAATTTGATTTAACTGTATCAGAAAAAACTAATCATAAATACAACTTTAATTCACAGACAGAGAAATACCCAAACTCCTACATTAGAGGTGACGAAAATATGCAATAATAAAAACAGAGACATAACAGCTGGTATAATAGGGCAATCTAGATCTCCATATTATAACAAAAAGTATGTAGATCCTGACCAGAGACATAACAGCTGGTATAAGAGGGCAATCTAGATCTCCATATTATAACAAAAAGTATGTAGATCCTTACCAGAGACATAACAGCTGGTATAAGAGGGCAATCAAGATCTCCATATTATAACAAAAAGTATGTAGATCCTTACCAGAGACATAACAGCTGGTATAATAGTAACATATTAAAACATACAGGCACTAGATGAGAGGTAATTCAAAAACGGTTTTTAGGTCACCTGATCCCCTTTTGTCTGGCGTCATTGTAAACTTTTAACATTTTAACATAATTATAAATTACATGACCTTAAGGTCTCACATTTCCCCTTATTAATTGTTTGTTTTCCTTCAGAAATAGTTCAAACTTGCTTAGAATTATCAGCTGAAGATGACATTATGATAAGGTGCACATATTGATCTCGACTGAACCCTAGGGGTTGATGAGCTGGTCAAAAATGGGTCAAATTGACCGAAATTTCAACAATCTTCTCAAAAGCTAAATAAAGTAGAACCAAATACTCTTTCTAGATGGAAGTGTCTTACGATACTTTACCAAAATTGTGAATTTCATGACCCCAGGGTTTCATGTTTCCCATTGAGGAGTGAGTAAAATCTACCATAGTTTGTGTTTCAAGCATAATTTGTTTATTTTCTTCTATAAATAGTTCAAACTTGGTAAGAATTATAAGAATCAGCTAACACTTTGATGAGATGCACATATTGATCCCTAGGAGTTGATGGGCAGGGCCAAAATTGGGTCAAGTTGACTGAAACTTCAAAGGGGTTTTACTTTTTATGGATGAGTCTATATAGGAAAATTCAGTTTTTGAGTGTAATTTCTTTTAATTCAAACTTGGTAAGAAGCATGGGATAGAAGTAGATATTAAACATAGTTTACATGTTGGATTATGTGTACAATGAAGTTAAAGCTATTTTACTTTTTTAACAAAATTATTTCTAAGAAATTTTAAAAGAAGCATTGTAACTCAGGTGACCCTTAAGGCCCTTGGACTAAGGGATGCTTGAAGAACTGTGGAGTGGGTGAGGGGCATTGTCGGGACGAAATTGTAATATTAAGGCCATAAAATGGATAGACTGACAATTAGACTAGGCAATGTTCTATATACAAGTGATACGAATGCCTTATCGTGACCTAGGTACTGTTCTATCTACAAGTGACAACTGAACCTGACTAAACACTTGGTACTGTGTTATCTACAAGTGACAACTAGACCTGACTAAACACTAGGTACTGTTCTATCTACAAGTGACAACTGGACCTGACTAAACACTAGGTACTGTGCTATCTACAAGTGACAACTAGACCAGGCTAAACACTAGGTACTGTTCTATCTACAAGGGACAACTGGACCTGACTAAACACAAGGTACTGTTCTATCTACAAGTGACAACTGGACCTGACTAAACACAAGGTACTGTGTTGTCTACAAGTGACAACTGGACCTGACTAAATGCTAGGTACTGTGCTATCTACAAGTGACAACTGGATCTGACTAAACACTAGGTACTGTGCTATCTACAAGTGACAAATGGACCTGACTAAACACTAGGTACTGTTCTATCTACAAGGGACAACTGGACCTGACTAAACACAAGGTACTGTGTTGTCTACAAGTGACAACTGGACCTGACTAAATGCTAGGTACTGTTCTATCTACAAGGGACAACTGGACCTGACTAAACACAAGGTACTGTGTTGTCTACAAGTGACAACTGGACCTGACTAAATGCTAGGTACTGTGCTATCTACAAGTGACAACTGGATCTGACTAAACACTAGGTACTGTGCTATCTACAAGTGACAACTGGATCTGACTAAACACTAGGTACTGTGCTATCTACAAGTGACAACTGGATCTGACTAAACACTAGGTACTGTGTTGTCTACAAGTGACAACTAGACCTGACTAAACACTAGGTACTGTGTTATCTACAAGTGACAACTGGACCTGACTAAACACTAGGTACTGTGCTATCTACAAGTGACAACTAGACCAGGCTAAACACTAGGTACTGTTCTATCTACAAGGGACAACTGGACCTGACTAAACACAAGGTACTGTTCTATCTACAAGTGACAACTGGACCTGACTAAACACTAGGTACTGTGTTATCTACAAGTGACAACTAGACCTGACTAAACACTAGGTACTGTGTTATCTACAAGTGACAACTGGACCTGACTAAACACTAGGTACTGTGCTATCTACAAGAGACAACTAGACCAGGCTAAACACTAGGTACTGTTCTATCTACAAGAGACAACTAGACCTGACTAAACACTAGGTACTGTGTTATCTACAAGTGACAACTAGACCTGACTAAACACTAGGTACTGTTCTATCTACAAGTGACAACTGGACCTGACTAAACACTAGGTACTGTGCTATCTACAAGTGACAAATGGACCTGACTAAACAGTAGGTACTGTGTTATCTACAAGTGACAACTGGACCTGACTAAACACTAGGTACTGTGTTATCTACAAGTGACAACTAGACCTGACTAAACACTAGGTACTGTGTTATCTACAAGTGACAACTGGACCTGACTAAACACTAGGTACTGTGTTATCTACAAGTGACAACTGGACCTGACTAAACACTAGGTACTGTGTTATCTACAAGTGACAACTGGACCTGACTAAACACTAGGTATTGTGTTATCTACAAGTGACAACTGGACCTGACTAAACACTAGGTACTGTGTTATCTACAAGTGACAACTAGACCTGACTAAACACTAGGTACTGTGTTATCTACAAGTGACAACTAGACCTGACTAAACACTAGGTACTGTGTTATCTACAAGTGACAACTGGACCTGACTAAACACTAGGTACTGTGTTATCTACAAGTGACAACTGGACCTGACTAAACACTAGGTACTGTGTTATCTACAAGTGACAACTGGACCTGACTAAACACTAGGTACTGTGTTATCTACAAGTGACAACTGGACCTGACTAAACACTAGGTACTGTGTTATCTACAAGTGACAAATGGACCTGACTAAACACTAGGTACTGTTCTATCTACAAGTGACAACTGGACCTGACTAAACACTAGGTACTGTTCTATCTACAAGTGACAACTGGACCTGACTAAACACTAGGTACTGTGTTATCTACAAGTGACAACTGGACCTGACTAAACACTAGGTACTGTGTTATCTACAAGTGACAACTGGACCTGACTAAACACTAGGTACTGTGTTATCTACAAGTGACAACTGGACCTGACTAATCACTAGGTACTGTGTTATCTACAAGTGACAACTGGACCTGACTAATCACTAGGTACTGTTCTATCTACAAGTGACAACTGGACTTGACTAATCACTAGGTACTGTTCTATCTACAAGTGACAACTAGACCTGACTAAACACTAGGTACTGTGTTATCTACAAGTGACAACTGGACCTGACTAAACACAAGGTACTGTGTTATCTACAAGTGACAACTGGACCTGACTAAACACTAGGTACTGTGTTATCTACAAGTGACAACTGGACCTGACTAAACACTAGGTACTGTGTTATCTACAAGTGACAACTGGACTGTATTGTTGTTGAATCGTCTATTCTACAAGATTATAGCATCATCCAATAAAAATAGTGCTTTGTTGTTAGGAAAACCAGAAATAATTTTTGTATATGTATGCCTTGTTTTGTCCTTCAACTGCTCAATGTTATCTTGTTTTTATAAATCAGGTTAGATCTAGTCAAATAATCATTCATAACAATTTTACTAGATTACGTACAAGATCATTTTATTTAATGACTTTATTTCATTTCATATTGATTTGCCCATATCTCACATTCCATTTGTTCTCTGTAAACAAAGTTCTTGTACAGTTGTGATGGAAAAATTGAATGTTAATTCAAGTCATTTGAATGTGTGATATCATGAATACAAACCTGTCTGCCAGATGGTGCTTTGTCACTAGGTAACATCGTCAAGGTTACCCACACTTAGTGTTAAACCTTCATCTGCTGGGACATCTTGGCATAACAGACAGTTGTGTGGGACACAATATACAACCAGGACTGGTGACAGACAGTTGTGTGTGATACAATATACAACCAGGACTGGTGACAGACAGTTGTGTGGGATACAATATACAACCAGGACTGGTGACTGGTGACAGACAGTTGTGTGGGATACAATATACAACCAGGACTGGTGACAGACAGTTGTGTGGGATACAATATACAACCAGGACTGGTGACAGACAGTTGTGTGAGATACAATATACAACCAGGACTGGTGACAGACAGTTGTGTGGGATACAATATACAACCAGGACTGGTGACAGACAGTTGTGTGAGATACAATATACAACCAGGACTGGTGACTGGTGACAGACAGTTGTGTGTGATACAATATACAACCAGGACTGGTGACAGACAGTTGTGTGTGATACAATATACAACCAGGACTGGTGTAAGACAGTTGTGTGGGATACAATATACAACCAGGACTGGTGACAGACAGTTGTGTGAGATACAATATACAACCAGGACTGGTGACAGACAGTATACAATATACAACCAGGACTGGTGACTGGTGACAGACAGTTGTGTGTGATACAATATACAACCAGGACTGGTGTAAGACAGTTGTGTGGGATACAATATACAACCAGGACTGGTGACTGGTGACAGACAGTTGTGTGGGATACAATATACAACCAGGACTGGTGACAGACAGTTGTGGGGGATACAATATATTCTGGTTATAAGATTTATTTGAAAAAAGATTTCATCAAATAATCGGTGAAGTGAGTGTTTTTAATTTTGCTGCTCCTTAAACAAGGTAAATCAACCTTCCTTTCAAAGTAGGTAATATTTGGATCTACTGAAATCATTTGTCAATGAACTGTTGTTGAAATTCTTTTAGAGAAATTGTGGCATTTTAATCAAAGCAGTTATAATAAAAGTAAGTTTATATCTGAGGAAGACACACAGTAAGGGTTGCCTTTTCTACCTTTTACTTTCAGAATTTAAATATTTGATATCAAATTAAAATTAACTACAGATTTAGGCTTAGTTGTTACTAACTACAATTTTGTACATCTGTTTGAACAGGGTTCATTTTCTTTCTCATTTAATTGCCTCTTTATGAGGCTGAAAATATTTATACCTCATACCTTCTTTGACAGAATTTTAAAAAAGTCCAGTAAAATCAGTGAATCAGATCATACAGTAACAGTGTCTACACAGTCAGCCTTAGACCTTAGTTCTACGATACTGGAACCTGAATCTAAGGCTATACAAATCAAAATTTCATATGAACTAACACCAAGGGTTAATTAATATGTTTTGCGTTGTGATGTGTATGTGCAATTAATTTTTGATAAACATCAATTCATTTTATTTGACTGCTTTTACTTTATTTTGGATAGTATTGATTTGTCATGTTAAACATCATAACCCCCAAACAACACATGACATGAAATACATTGTATCTCCTAAACAACAGATCTTATATAGTAATTGTATCTCCCAAACAACAGAAGTTGTGTAACACATTGCATCTCCAAAACAACAGAAGTTGTGTAACACATTGTATCTCCTAAACAACAGAAGTTGTTTAACACATTGTATCTCCCAAACAACAGAAGTTATTTAACACATTGTATCTCCCAAACAACAGAAGTTGTGTAACACATTGTATCTCCCAAACAACAGAAGTTGTTTAACACATTGCATCTCCAAAACAACAGAAGTTGTGTAACACATTGTATCTCCCAAACAACAGAAGTTGTTTAACACATTGCATCTCCAAAACAACAGAAGTTGTGTAACACATTGTATCTCCCAAACAACAGAAGTTGTTTAACACATTGCATCTCCAAAACAACAGAAGTTGTGTAACACATTGTATCTCCCAAACAACAGAGTTGTGTAACACTTTGTATCTCCAGAGTGAGCTTTTTGTACATATGTGATAGTATAGTAACTGAGGAACGCTTGTAAGCCTAGCATTTCCTGTGTATTGACTCCTCAAGATAGAAAATGTTGCTGCCATGAGGCAGGTAGCATAAATTTTCCGGTCGGGTCAAAGGAAAGCATTTAATGTGAAAGTTCTTTATCTAAAGTCAATTAAAAGAATGAGAGTGATTGGGGAAAATCTGTTGGTTTTGATGAGGAGACCAATTTATAAATGACTGTGATGATTGTTAAGTTTGAGGTGTTTGTAGTTATCTCTTGTCTAAGTTATAGAAGTGTGTGTATCATGCGCCAACAAACATTGGCATTAGTGGTTGTATACTGTACAGAATGTTAACTAGTTGGTACACAGCTATAGTGTACTGGTATGATGATTCATAGTAGAAGTAAAACCTGTTAGATAAAATAATAAACATCCATATGTCTTGAGAGAGAAATAATGACTTATGATCAATAAAAATCAATTATACCATCAGAATGTTGTTGTTATTTTTCTAGAGAAATGTTGTTTTTATTCCATTTTAGGGGAGGGGAGGGGTGGGGACAAACATTTTTATGTATGACCATAATTTTACTTGTTAATAAGGCTTCATACAATAGCATTGTACAATCTGATAGAACTTACAAAAATATATGATAGAATAGTTACAATTGAACATGAAGTTGACCCAAGAAAACAACAGTCTTTTTGTCCAATACATGGACTACAAATTAAATACTGTTTAAGATATTGTCACAATTTTTGTAGCTGCACATGTGCATCAGTCTTGTGATTGATTCATGGCTTCTGCTGCCTGGGGACAATGACCAGAAGTACATTCTGCTATGGTTGAGTTTCATTTTTTACTTTGTCCTGTTACCTCGGAAAACAATGATATATACTTGATATAGACAGTTCGCTCCTCCTCACAATCATCCCCGATACTTCAGGGGTTACAATCACTTTCACTCTGTATACCCCTGGACCCATCCTTGATACTCCAGGGGTTACAATCACTTTCACTCTGTATACCCCTGGACCCATCCTTGATACTCCAGGGGTTACAATCACTTTCACTCTGTATACCCCTGGACCCACCCTTGATACTCCAGGGGTTACAATCACTTTCACTCTGTATACCCCTGGACCCATCCTTGATACTTCAGGGGTTACAATCACTTTCACTCTGTATACCCCTGGACCCATCCTTGATACTCCAGGGGTTACAATCACTTTCACTCTGTATACCCCTGGACCCATCCTTGATACTCCAGGGGTTACAATCACTTTCACTCTGTATACCCCTGGACCCATCCTTGATACTCCAGGGGTTACAATCACTTTCACTCTGTATACCCCTGGAACCATCCTAGATACTTCAGGGGTTACAATTACTTTCGGTATCTGTACCCCTGGAACCATCCTCGATAATCCAGGGGTTACAAACACTTTCACTCTCTGTACCCCAGGAACCATCCTCGATACTCCAGTGGTTACAATCACTTTCACTCTGTATACCCCTGGAACCATCCTCGATACATCAAGGGTTACAATCACTTTCGGTATCTGTACCTCTGGAACCATTCTCGATACTCCAGGGATTACAATCACTTTCGGTCTCTGTACCCCTGGAACCACCATCAATACTTCTGTACCCCTGGAACCATCCTTGATAATCCAGCTGTTACATTCACTTTCGCTCTCTGTACCC